CTGGCAGAGCGGGAAAGGTCTCTCCTCTCTGCCATTCCTTAGAGCCAGGGTCCATCCAGGGCACTCTGCCTTGCTGAACCTCCAGGGTCCAAGCCCAGTTTTATTCACTGCCTTGTAACCAAGAGGTATTCTGAATCCAGCAGGTGAGGAGACAGGTTTCCACTGATAAATTACCACCAAGAAAAGGACCGAGTGTGAGATTTACAGCCATCCAATTCCCCTTGCATGAATTCCAACTTCCAGCTGAGCCCCAGGCTTAAATCTACTCTGGATTCAAGCAATTTCAACCCATCCATAACTGGCCAGGAGATGAGAGGAGAAGATTGAGAGGCAGGAGGAGAATTTGCTCCTAGAATGGGTCGCCTGGCTGCGGAAACTGAGCCCATTAGCCAAAGAAACTGGGGAGCCAAAGATTGAGAGGCAGGCGGAGAATTTGCTCCTAGAATGGGTCACCTGGCTGCGGAAACTGAGCCCATTAGCCAAAGAAACTGGGGAGCCATCCCTCCCTTCTCCTTAGTCATACAGAGACTGGACCATGGTCTGGGGGATCACCTGCTCCACCCATGAGTGCACCTGCAAACAGCACAGCCTGCCTGAGCAGTTTGGTGCCATTCACTCAGACCCTGCTCAAGGGGTCTGCAAGGGTGCCCGAGCTGAGCACCCTTCTGGCTCTCCACTCCTAACTCTTCCTAAGTCCCAGAAACAAGAGAGATGACAGAGAGGAGAGACCTTTCCACAGACCGTCAGGTGGGATCTGCTCTCCTTTCTCTGGTCAGCACAGTGAGCAAAGAGTGAGAAGCACAGAGCACAGCCAGCTCAATCCCTCAGGATCTCCAAACCCAACTAAGACTTGGCTGGGACCTGCTCTGCTTCATGGAAAGAGAGACCTGAAAGGAGAGACCCCAGGGAGTGGTTTCTCCTGATTCTTTTCTCTTTTACTATGAGTGGAGCTCTGTTGCAGCCATCAATGCTCAACAGAGTCCTGACCATACTCCTTTCTAACTGCAGCCCCCCCCACTAACCACTTTCAGCCTCAAGGGAGGTTTGAAAAGCAGCTGGCAGAGACCACTTCAATCCATCCACTTGAGCCAAGCTCTGAAGGCACACTGGGGAGCCCCTCCTCTTCCTCCATCATCTGCACAGGTCAGCCCTTGAGGGCTGTGTCTCGTGCCTGTCTGAACAGGGACAAGCTGCCCCACTACGAGTCATGTTCCTGAACCAGTGCTTTGCACCATGGCAGCTATGGTTGGGAATAGATGGCCAAAAGCCTCAGGTGCAGAAGAGAAGGATTTGGGAAATACACTGTGCTGGCTTGACTAAGGGCTGCATCCTTCCCCTGCACTCTTCCCCTTCCTGCCCAGACTATTCTTCTCCCCCAGGGGAGCAAACATTATGTGCTTCTGTTCTACAAGTTCTGGTGACCCACCAGGTGTGATCAAGCACAGCCACCACCCAAGCAGATGTATTTACCAGCTGGATTTACTGTCCTCCTCTTTCTCAGAGCAGTCCCTCAATTTTTCAAGACTGAAGAAACCAGAAGCAGGAAGTTGCATCACTCAGTAAAGATCACATTCCTTCCCCTTTTAGTCCAGATTTAGCACCAGTTTGAAGCCACGAGACTGAAGTGAGTACTAGGCAACACAACCACAACTTCTGGAGTGATGCAGGTTAGAGCAGAAGTGGGTTTTGGGTTAAATAACCCACTCTACTGCACGCCTGTCCTCTCCTGTCTGAAGTCCTGTAGCTCCTCCTGGAAGAGGCAAGTAATTATTCAGTGGTATCTCCAAAATTAGGGGTCCCTAAATTAAGACATGTGGATTACTGATCAACACAACAAGTAGCCTCATGGGGGAGTGAGGGACCCACTTGCATTTTTGGGATGTTACTTACAAGTTGCTTCTCATGGGAACCTGTTGATCCATGGGAAAACTGGGGGGCTAAAGGCAAAGACTAAGCCTGTCACAGCTTTGATAACACACCTCAGGAGTAACTACCCGCTCGCTCAGCAGCCCTAATTGTCCAAATGAGCAACCAGAAGTGGTCGTGGGATGTCCAGCTTCAGGCATCCAAGATGGAAGAGGTGAGCATCCAAACGTGAGAGCCCCCATCTTCCCTGGAGCGCTCATGGAAAGCGAGATGGAGGCAGAGGGGTGCAGACTCATTAATCTGTTATGAGGAGGGGAAGGGGAGGGAGGTGGGGAGAGAGGTGGGACAGGCCACTGCAGCTCAGAAACAAACTCCCCTGGAAAATGAGACCCAAAAGAAAAAAAAAGAAAAAAAATATACCAACCCCCCCAAAAAAATACATTAGCAGATGTTATCAGAGGTACCGCTACTTCTAAGAAACAGCGTGTCCTTACCAAAAAGATTTGCAAGAATGTTTGTGGCCGAGGACCTAAGGAACTTGCTACAGAGATGTGAGATCAGAAGTCAGCTCAATCCTGCAACATAAAGGTGGCAAACCCGGGTCAGGGCAGGTCAGCGGCAGGGTCCGGGGTGCACGGAGTCAGGGAAGAGGGGATGGGGCTGCCGAGGGAGAAGGATGCAGGAGGGGGGCTCAGCTGGCCCCGGGGAGCTTACCTGGCAGCAGCCCTGCCCCCTGACACCACCTGCGAGGCCTGAAATGAAAAGCTGCTGACGCCGCAGTGAAGATTTGGCGAGGGGGGAGAGGGGAAGAAGTAAGCCAGCGACAAAGCAAGACAAAAAAAAAAAAAAAAAAAAAAAACAAAGCTGCCTTTGAAAGAAATGCACAACACAAATATGGAAGAGAAGAAAGTAAAGGAGCAGTAGGAAAAAACACGTCTGCTGGTGGCCCTCAGTGGGGAAGGCTGCTGAGAGCCTCCAAGGGACCCGATGCCCAGATGATGGGTTCTAGGTGCACTGTCCTGCCCTGGGACCACTCCACATGGATGTGAGCAGTGATGCATGGGAGGTCCCACATGCCCAGGAAAGGTCCATCACCCCCTGGAGCCTGTTCTACAATCCTGAGAACAATCCCTGCCTCCCACTGCTCTCCATAGGCAATGTCCCCTCAGTGTCCCCTGGTGACAGCAAGAACGTTTGTTGCCACAGAGGAACCAGCCCAAGGCTCCTGGCCCTGACAACCTGAGCAGTGATTGCTCAGCTGGTTTGGATGGAGCTGTGGGTGCAAAGGGTTTGAATTTGCCTGCTGCAGGCAGATTTTTGAATTGGTGCTTCCCAGGATCCTGAAAAGCAATTCCCATTGAGCCCCACGGGTTTCTCTCACGTTCACTCAGTTCATTCCACCACCCCCCTCCCCAGGTGAAAACCACAATGACACTAACAGACCTCCTATACAGGTTGGGGACTTCAGGCACGATAAAGATATAATAAAAGGAAGAAAGCAAACATTTTTCCTGATGCCACCAATGCAGAATCAACCCTGTGCCAGAGGAAACCGGAGCTCATTTCTATTGCTGTCCCCAGAGCACACAGCCCTTGCAGATCTTTGCTCCTGGCAGTGCTATAAGGCAGGTGAAGCCCAAGATCTGAGGACAACTGGGAGCCCAGAAGCCGGGGGAGAAAGAGAAGACATCTCTTGTTGGGAAGGTCGGGTTTGAGGTGGAAAGAATGGCTGCAGGAGCCCTGTGCACCCCTGAGTCTTTCCCAGGGTCAGAGGGAGTGTGTGCCAGTGCCATTCCTTGGACAGGTCTCTGGATTTACGCTGCTGCTCATGCCATGGAGACACACCTTGGCCAGCCCGGCCACTGGCAACGCAGAGATGTTGCCCAAGGGCCTCGAGGCAAGGCTTGCCAGCAGGAGCACGCCAGACCCAGGGGCAAGGTGTGATCCCTCCATCCCTCCTGCGTCTGAGTTTCCACTTGGTCCATGCCAGGCTTTAACACCGCCCCAGCTGTGGTGGTACTTCAGACCAGGGCATCACAGGCAAGGGGTGCCAAATTCCCCCCAATCTTTCCAGGAGGTGCACACCACTGGGTGGAGAATTGGGTCCCCCAGCCCTTGGGACAGCAATGGAGAGAACAACATCTCCCAGGCTTGTTGAGCTACTACTTGGGAAATCAGTTCCCTGCAGCTCGGCCAAGAGGGAAGGGGTATGAGCTGCACAGGGGGCAGCCTGGCACAGAGCCTGCTTGTAGGGCAAAGCCCTGGGCTGTGGGGTTTGACAGCTCTGGTTTAGCGTGGGCTCTGCTTGCCCAGGGGCTGAAGGACTCCCTCCACACATTGAGACTTCACACTGACAGCACCAACTGGCTTTGGAGAGGGCTTTGCAGCTCGAGGTGCCAGGTTGGGGTTGATTTCCCTTTGTAGGCTGGGAAATCTCAATCTAGAAAGTTTGTTTTCAGTAACAGGACAAACTCTTCCTTCTTTTTGATGCAGGGCTCAGGCGCGGGAGGAAACTTCACCAAAATTGTGAGATGGACAATTCTCCATCTCTGCCTGCTACATGGCAAATCCCCACCACTTACAGCTGAGGAGCCAGTCCTGGGTAGGGATGTTTCCAGTCTCAGCCCTGTCACAATGAACTCTAAAGCTCTGCATTCACTCACTTTGCTCCAGTATTTCTGAGCTATGCCCATGTCCTCGGGTTGGAGGCCATCCACAGGGTAAAGGGAGGGGAAGTAGCTAGAGATCAGGTCCTCAAGAGATGTAAATCAATGTGGTGCTCATGGGACCAGGGGAACTATACCAGCTTGCATCAGCCAGAAAATTTGGTTCAAGCATCCAGAGAAGGAGCTTGAACAGCTTAGAAGGCACATAGGGCCACAGTGTCTCCATAACCTACATCAGCGTGACTTTATTTGCTCTTGTGTCTCCCTGGGTGGGAGAGGTCTGGACCGTGGTGCAGTGAGATGTTGAGCCCAAGGCTCCCAAGGTGGTTTGGGGAGAGAGAGGTCTGAAGACACTCGGCTTGTTTCAAGAGGATGCCAACCTGCTGGCCTTGGGCAAAAAGAATGAGGAAACTCAACTTAACTTACCTTTGTTCTTCCTCGAGTTCTTCTAAAGGAAACTCAACTTACCTTTGTTCTTCCTCGAGTTCTTCTTTGGTCATCATGGACTTGTACTGGTTTCCCCTCAGCTTTCCAGGACTGTATTTAAAAGAGAACGTCTCATCTGCAGCTGGAGAGTGGGAGAGGGAGAGACAAAGAAGAGCAGGAGATCGTGTGAGCCAGAGGCCTCCTGAGGGCAACGATCAACAGTGGGTGGGCTTGCTCCCTTGAGCTTCTGGCTGCCCCCTGCTCCTGCACATGCACCCCAAACACCGAGACCACCCCAAAACACTCTTCCTCAGTCAGCTCCAGCCTACAGAAAGCCCGGGCAGTGTTGGGGAAGCCGTGTGGATTGCAGTGGAGAGCCAAGGTGCTGGGGCCAGAGGACGGCAGGAGCCCCAGCTGCAGCTTAGCCCTGGAGACAAGGAGGAGCTCTGGGAGCGAGCAGCCCTGCCTGGACGCAGATACAAGCAAATCCTGCAGCACAGGAACCATATGCTATCGCTCTCTTTGGAATCAAAGCCTTGCAGGCCCATCTTGGCTTATCAAGACATGCTAATCCTGCCCTGATTAGCTCGCAGCATTTCCCGCTTCTCTCCAGACTTGCATTCCTCCTCCCTCCCTCTCCTCATCCAGGGGCCCTTTCCCGTGCTTGGGGCTCATGGATGGTGCCACCAGCAGAGCTGTCCCAGGCCATGCAGCCCAGCAGCTCTCCCCCAGCCCTGGACAATGCCTGTGAAAAAAAACAACCAAAAGGAGGTGCCATACGGCAAATCTCGGGGCTGCAAACAGAGCTGAGCCGAGGCAGCCCCAGGAGCACCAACACGGCTGGGTCCAAGTCCCTCTGTCACCAGCCAACAGACCTGAAGAAGAAACTGAGGTTTCCTTCTCCAGGCCTGGGTGCTCTCCTGCCCGGCTTGCCGGCCTCTGCCCTGTGCTAATTAGAGCACCGAAGCTCACAGACCCTGAGCCAAAGCCGATCCTTTTCCAATCGGATTTTGTTCGAGCACTATTTGCTTTTAAAAACCTCTCCCCTGCTTTATCTTCCTACAGATGGGAGAAAACAACAGGAGTGGAGGTCACTCCAAAGGGCAGCCCAGGAAGAGCGGCTCCTTCGGGTGGTTGCCTTTCTTGGTTATCTGTGGGCTGTTTATCTGCCAGCCTTTATCTCCCAAGGACTGCAGGACTCGGCTGCTTCACGTCGAGCTGTGTCCACATCCACCCAGAAACATCTCCTGCTTCCACCAACCCTCGGAACCCCGGGGATACTTCTAAGGGGTCCACAAAAGGAAGATGTTATTGTATTATCTACACGGCCCTGAAAAATTGGATGTTATACACAACCCAAATGTCCAGGATGATACCTTCCAGCACCAGCAAGACCCCAAAAGTGGTGAAACTCCCCTGATTTCTGTTGCAGGAGACAGAGCTGCAACTTGTACATAACCCATGGACCCATCACCTGTCCCCAGCCCCCTGGGAAGCCCCTTCCAATCCTTGCTGCTGCTGTTGCGGACACCACATTCATGAAAGTCTCTCCTCCTCCACCTGCCCAAAGAAAAAACACCCCACAGCCCGTCTCCTCCTTTCATCACACCCAGAAGATTTCAGCATCAGCAGCTTCCCTCTGTTTTCTGGTCGATACTGCCCTTAAGGATTTTCTCCCCTTGTCCAAGGTCAGCTGCTTGATTTAGCAACTTCTCCAACCCCGAGCTCCCGCATGCTCTCAGCTGCTGCCAGAGCCCCCACAGACCTTGGGGACCCCCACGCAAAAGGCAAGTTTGAGCCTCATTTTGTAGACGGGGGAACCTGAGCTCTCGAAAACAGGCCATGCAAGGCTGCGTGGGCAGGTACGGGACTGAAGCCACAAGGTCACTGCCACACGGAGCGTGCCTGGAGGGATATTTTCAGGCTGGGAATTTAACAGAACCCTCCTCCCTGCAGATATCCACATCTCCTCCCTTTACATCTCCTGGGGAGCTTCCCTGGGAAGTCCTAGTGGATTACTGCTCAATTCGTGATCTGGAGTGTTCCTCTAATCCCAAAATATCAATCAGGGCTCCTGAGGAACAAACCCTTTTCCCCGGCATCTTCACAAGTGTCTGAACACAAGCTCCCCCATGCTGTGGTCCCGCAGCCCCAAACATCCCGCTCGGCCACATCCCACTTCCCTCGGTGGGAAAACCCTCCGAGGCAGCGGACAAACAAGCCTGGCCAGCTGGAAACAAGCAGTAATGCTGCGGCTTATCAGCCCTTCGGGTGGCCACAAAAGTGCACGTTAAGAAAATTCAGCTGGCAGCTGCTTTGGGAGATATTAAGAGAAAGAAAAAAATAATAAAATAGGGTGTAACATCCTGTTTCTTACCCTGATGCGGAGCAGGAGCCGTTTCGTTACCTTTGTGTAGCTCGCCTGTTTTCAAGGACAATTAAGATTGTTTCCCTCATGTGGTGTTCGGCCAAGTAAATTGAGATTTGGGATTTTGCCTGTCCCCAAAAAGGGCAGTTTAATTGCCACCCTGCCAGGAAAGAACAGGGGAGGAGGGAGGCGAGGCGGCTACCCATCTCCCTGCCCACATGTTGTGGTTAAAAAAGGAGCCAGTGTGCAGCTTTGGAAAGCACGGGCTGTTTTCTGAGCTCAGGAATTCTCCTTGCAGACCGAAAACAAACTTCAGGAAACACACGGCAGAGAGGAGGCCGGGTTCTCACCCGGACAGCGAAAACACTGCAGGAATATGAGGTGACCTACTTACACACAGCCTCCGTGAGTCCATATTAATGAAAACATTTGTCTTTCATTTCTCTGGCCTCACGTTGCCAGCAGATGGAAAGCAGCCCCTCGAGCTCGTCTCTGGTCCAAAGACCCTCGGTCTGGCACTCTCTGTGTACCCAACAAGTACCTGCCTCCTCCCTGCCAGCTCCCCGCAGTGGGGAGATGGCTGCTCTAATGGTTTTGGCTACCACAGCAGCATCCTGGGCTAGTGACAGACTGCCTGCACAATCCCCACATGCCCGAGGGGAATCTCTGCTCACAGGGCGGCAGCTCAGTGGCTTGAGTTGGGCCGGGATGAAGGGATGTGCAGGAGAAAGGGTGAAGGCAGGAGGGAGGTTTCTCCCCAGCAAAGCCAGGGCACCACCGTTATTCCCACCACTCGCCTCCTCCTCATCAAGCTGAGCCATCGGTTTATCCAGTTCCATCATGGAATTGTTGGAGTTGGAAGGGACCTTCTAGAGATCATCCAGTCCAACTCCCCTGCTTAAGCAGGACTGGGCACATCACTCAGGGCTGCATCCAGGTGGGTCTTGAAGATCTCCAGAGAAGGGGACTCCACACCCTCCCTGGGTAGCCTCTTCTAAGGCTCTGCCACCCTCACCCCAAACAAGTTCTTCCTTATATTTAAGTGGAACTTCCCATGTTCCAGCTTGTGCCTGTTGCCCCTCGTCCTGTCACTGGGAACCACTGGAAAGAGTCTGGCTCCCTCCTCCCTCAACCCACCCTTTAGATCCTTGGAAGCATTAATAAGGTCTCCCCTCAGCCTTCTCTTCTCCAGGCTAAAGAGCCCCAGCTCTCTCAGCCTTTCCTCATCAGAGAGATGCTCCAATCTCTTAATCATCTTTGTTGCCCTATGCTGGACTCTCTCCAGTAGTTCCCTCTTGAACTGGGGAGCCCAGAACTGGATGCAGGATTCCAGTTGTGGCCTTCCAGTGCAGAGCAGAGGGGGAGAATGACCTCCCTTGACCTGCTGACCAGACTCTTGCCTACATAGCCCAGGATTCCATTTGCCCTCTGGGCAACGAGGGCACGATGCTGGCTCACGGATGGTTTACTGTCCACCAGGACCCCCAGATCCTTCTGCTCAGAAGTGCTTTCAAGCAGGTCCATCCCTAACTTATATTGGGATCTGGTATTCAAAGCACCTCAGAAATGGTGTAAATAATTCAGGAGAGGAGTCAGTAACCGCGTGCAGGAGGTGATTAAGGAGGATGCTGGGCTAGCAATGACCTGTGGACTGTCATCTCCCCCTGCTCCCGAGCCACAGCCACTTCAGGGGGATGCAGAGTGGAGCTGGAGCTGAAAACAGAGCTGAACCAAAGGAGGCAGGTCCTGGCACGGATGGGTGACACCCCTGATCACCAGTGCTGCCAGGAAGCTTAACTGGGTGGAAGGAATGTCTTTTGGGAACCCTGTCTCAGAAGGCGCTTCCCCCACCTTGTGGTTATGGCACGGGGATTAAAATTTGATTCTCTGTGGCATTAGGAGTAATCCTCCCGAGCCAGGGGATTGCCACCCAGAGCCTTAAAAAGGGCAAGCAGAAAGTGGGGCAAGGAAGGGGGAACACCCCACGCTCTCCCGCTACCCCAGCTGCCCCCCACCACCCCGGGCAGGGGCTCCTGGGCGCATCTCAGGAGAGCAGAGTCCCCATCAGACACACACTCTTGCTCGGCACCATCTGTTTCATTTTCTTCCCAGTGCGGCAGTTGTCACCCCAATTAGTCAATCATTTTCCAATCAACTAATTGGCTAATCAGTTAAACACAGCTCTGACTAAAGCCCCTGGAGATCGCCCTGGACGTGAGCAAGGAGCTTTTGGGGCAGCTCCATTACAAAGCTACCCCATGGCAAGCAGCCCAAGGGCATCCGGGGAAGCAGAGAGAGGGGCTGCTGCCAGGGGAGGAATTTCCTCTGCATTTCCTGGAGGAAGGAGACCATCCCCAAGCCCTCGGGGCTTCAGACCCATCTGTACCCACCCCACAGGGTGCTGCCTTGCTCGGCACTCACCATCCTCATCCTCCGGCTCTCTCACCACCAGCTTCTCGTTTTCCGAGTCCGGATCTTCCTCCTGGAGGAGTTAAAAACAGAGGAGAAGGTGCTGTGCTAAATAACCTGTGCTTGGCCAGGGCCCCAGAGCCCGCAGGGCACGGACTGGAGCTTCCAAGACAAGGGCTGGGCACTCCTTCCCCACCTCCTTCAGGGAACAGCCTAATTAGGATGCTCGCTAACGAGCAAGGTTCGTTAGTCTGCTTTCCTCTTGCTGGTCAGTGGGGGGACATGGGCCTTGCTTGTGGCATTCCCACCCAAAGGCTGCAAAATGCAAGTGCTTCCCCATAATCGAGGGGATTTTTAAGGTTTTTAAGAAGAACCTGCTCTCCCAGTGTCCCCAAGCACAGCCTTGTGCCTAAGCACCCTCCTGGGCTGGCACCCTCCAGCAGTACCCACCTCATCCAGCCCAGGGACATGCAGGGGACCAAGCCATGGTCCACAGGGACTTCTGCATGCCCCCAGGCCAGGCTTGGATGGACCATCTCAGTGTTGGGAAAAGGCAAGTCCCCAGCAAAAGCCACCTTGCTGCTCCAAAGCACGGGAGCACCCACCAGCCGGGACCAGTGGTCGAAGGCAACGCTGGGGGGTGGTGCTGGGACCCCACCAGGAGCCCTCCCAGCCTCGCCTGGCAGCAACCCCCCCCCGACACTGCTGGCCTGTGGACCCCCCAGCCCACGCAGTGCGGTGGCAGGACTGATCTCTGGAGCACACACACACACACACACACACACACACAGAGGAACAGCCACAGCACGTCATTTTTTATAAAAGCAAAACCATTTGGGAAGGTTTGGGGTTACCTCCTGCGAGCTACAACAAACTTCCTCAAGCCCAGATGCCTTCCCCTTGTGGGACAGGCAGCAGAAAGTCACGCAAACAGCAAGTGGGGAGGGAAGGGAGTGCTCCAGCTCTGGAGAGGACAGGGACACGTGGCAACACTCCCCTGTACGTTTCTTCTTCCCACAAAGTGCAGCACTCAGGCTGCAAACCCCCGTGAGCTGAGCCTGGAGGTCAAGAGCATCCTGGAGCACGCATCCTCCTGCATCTTCCCTGTCCCTCTGCATCCTCCCGTCCCTCTGCATCCTCCCCCCGTCCCTCTGCATCCTCCCCCCGTCCCTCTGCATCCTCCCTACCGTCCCTCTCCATCCTCCCTGTCCCTCTCCATCCTCCCTGTCCCTCTGCATTCTCCCCTGTCCCTCTGCATCCTCCCCCATCCCTCTGCATCCCATTCCAAGCCATGGGGCTGGCGTGTGACAGGCAAAGCACACAGGAGAGAGGAACAGGAGCCCAGAGGGAGCCTGGCAGGCAGCCCCACTGTTGAGCACACGGGAAAAGTCAGGGTGATGGAGACCTGAGGAGGATGAAGATGGTCTGAGAAGGACCCTGCGCAGAGCCAAGGCTGTGCAAGGCCTTAGACAAACCGGAGCTCAGTAGGCAGCCCCAACCCAGAAGTAGGTTAGTTTGTCATCGGGGAGGAATGTGCATTATTCACAGCCCTTTGGCTTCTTCTCGCCACCCTGCTCTCGGGCTCCCCAGAAGGACACGCTGCCGAGACCACCCCCCCCCCCCTCCCCCCCCC